TCCATGGCAATCCAACTCTCAAACGACTCTGCATCTCAATTGAAATATATTTTCTCCTACATTCATCTTTCCTTTCATAATGTTGTTCCAATGATTATGCCAATTATATATATATATATATAAAAGGAAAATATAAGTAATCCCTCAAGGATTAATCCGATTGCATTTATGGGGTTGATGTCTCTACTCACATAAATATCTTTAAATTAGTTCAAGAGTCAAATTCTCTATCTATCATAATTTATAAAGAGTAATTATAGAGAATGCTATATTATTTTTCACTTACATAAATGAAGCCGAATTAGTCATAGAGTCTATCATAACCCTATTTGTAGAGAGGTGAAATGGATCCTGAGCCAACAAAAAATTTGATACCCGGATTTAAATTTAATAATTTATTGGCTTAACAAATCGGATATAGATTATGCTGATCTAATTATTCGAATAAAATTATATATATATATATATATATATATATATATACTCTTATCTGATTTGTATTAAAAGTAACCAGAAAAATAAAAAAAAATTCATAGGTGTTCTCATTCATATATTAATAAATCTTTTAAGATACATACTAATAATATCATAGTATTTATTTATTAAAAAGAGTAAATAATCTATTTTTTTCTTTTCTTCTAATTGTTATTTTTTTATTCTCTTTTGACATTAATTTATAATTTTTTTTTTTTTTAAAATAAAAAATTAATAATTTTATCAGATCAGATTGGATTAATGAATTAACGAATTGAATTCAAATTGACTTTCAAAATATCACGACCGTAACCAATATGATGATATGATAGACTTGGCTAAATCATAAAATCATTTCTATACGAACACTCTTTTCAGACACCAGTGTATGTAGTCCCAATGTGTACTATCACTTGGTCATAGTGAGTGTGAAATCACTGACAGAGTTACCATTCAAAAAAACAAAAAAAATCACTGACAAAGTTCCACCAACACTTTTTCCTCCATTTAACAACCACAGGCCATCCATTAGCACTTCACTTTTAATTTGTCAAGAAAGCATGTAATGCCTTTCACATTTGATATTCACTAAAAAGGAAGAAATAAAGCCTAAGTAGGTGTAATTCCTTCCCCATTTCCTAACAGTATTTCTTCAATTAGACAATCATGCAGGGGCGGAGTCATAAATTTGAAGTTGGGGCCGAACTTGTATTATGTAATTAAAGTTATACAATTTTATATATTAATTATAAAATTTCTTAAATTTGAGCTTGTAAAAATATAGTTAAAAGAGTTTAAGTTGAAAAATTACTAAATTCCAGCGGGACTCATATTAAATTTATTTTCAAATTCTCTATTTTAGGTCAATATATAAGTGTTTGGAAAAAATTGAGGGGCCAATTGAAATTTTTAATGAATTTTAAGGACAAAACCTACAAAGTAATTAATATTTAGAGGTATAAATAAAAATTTTAAGAAAATTTGGGGGGCTTGGTCACTGCTGGCCCACCCCTAGCTCCGCCCCTCTACCATGGTAGGTTTCAATGTGGACCACATCATCTAACAAAACGTGGTTGATGATCCTTGCGGTCTAAAAATTGAAAACAAAACTTTCATACGAAGGTAAAACTGTTATATCTAATCCTTTTTGGATTCTGTAATCGCAAGAATCTCATACATTGATACACTGATTTAATTCTAGTCACGATTTAAGTCACACGGAGTGGGAATACAAAAATAACAAATTTTAAGTTACACAAAATTGAAATGGAAGCAAGAGCATGCGCTTCGCGTAAGTATAGAAACGATACTCATTGAGAAGAATTATGTGACTTATTAGATCATGATGGTCTAAAATAATACTTTTTCAAATTTTTCCTTACATATATATATATATATATATATATATATATATATAGGTAAAAGGGTTGCCCTCTAAACATGGATATTTAATATAGCAGCATGGGAACAGGTGACAGCCTACGACTAAGTTAAGATGTTATTTAATGTACGAGCTAGCAATGTAGAACTCAAATGGAGCAACAATTCAATTCCATGTACCAAACACACTTATGAAATTGTCACCTTTCATTTACCAGCTTCGGAGGGTACAAGGTGTATGGTACTGTACGATTGGGCTGGACTGTTTTTTAAAGCCCCATTAATTTTTTGGGTATTGTGTATAAATAGTTGGGTCCAACCATTAGACCTAACAATTTAAAAGAACAACTAAATACCACTCAATATTTAATAAATTATGGCTCATTGAATTGGGAGGGTTATTTAAGGTTTTTTGTGGAGAGCTATTATTTGGGCTCGCTAGTTTAGGCCCAACGTTAGGCCTGAAGCATATTTGTTATCGTCTAGTGCTGGACTGGCCTAGCCCAGCCTATGGCTGCCACCAGTACTAAATGGAACTAACCGAACCAAATCGACGCTTCGGTTCATTTCCTTAATAGCTCAGTTCCGATTCCAGTTCTAAAAAACAAAACCGTTACATTATAAATTGGACCTAAGGGATGGCAAATTCTTCCGACCTGTTGGGTTTCCGCCCCGCCTCGCGCCCTAATGGGGTGGATTTGACAGCCTCCTAAATATGTTTGGGACGGGTATGATAAAAAAACTAAAAATTCCAAGCAAATTTGGGGCGGAGACAGAGTTAATAATGAACCTGCCCGGCCTCGATTATATATGTACCTTTAAAAGATATTATAAATATATAGTTAACATTTTTAAGACCTTGTTATTTTGCTGGAAGTATTCGTTAATATATTAAATATTCACTACTTAGTGGAGTAATTTTAAAGCTGGACCAACTTATTTATCAACCCAATTTTTAAGACCTTGTTATTTTGCTGGAAGTATCCGTTAATATATTAAATATTCACTACTTAGTGGAGTAATTTTAAAGCTAGACCAACTTATTTATCAACCCAATTTGGGTACATTGTGCTAGTTTTATTTTACTAAATAATAAAAGTGGCATAACCCGCCTCGTCCCACAATTAAACGGAGTATGCGACGCAAAGTCGGCACTTTGTTTACTGGAGTAAGAACGAAGATCATATACCAATTATAAAACTTACCCCTGAGTCAAAGTGGAGTTGGCATAACGAATTTTCTAATTAAGAAGAGTATGATTTAGCCAAACGCTATCCCTAAGCTTGGTTCCATATCCTTTAGGAAAGGATCCAATCCCTATAACCAATTATATATATATATATATATATATATATATATATATATGTATTCCAATAATAATATTATCATATAACACAAAGTTCCATCTAATACTTTGTTTATATATATTTTTTATTTCTTTTTTATTAGTTGATACTCACAAACGCATATCTCGATGATGGCTCAGGTCCTAATCTCACTTTTAAAAGTTGGAGCCTGATACAACTAAACCACAGTTGGTGTTTATATAACATTTAATTATAGAGCAAAGCAAAAAATTATATATATATAGATTTTCTGAATATATATATATATATATATATATATATATATATATATATATAGGAAGACATTTAAAATTAACAAAATCAATTTCTTCAATAAACAAAACTTTAGAAACAATCTAAAGGAGTTTGCAGGTTTTGTTTTTCTTTTAATTCGTATTAATTATTATATTATTCAGTCCTTTACAATTGGTTCGATTTCATATACCAACAATTTTAATTTTAATTTTAATTTTAAACTGTTCGATTTCAAATTAACCTATCAAGCCAAATAGGACCTCATGCAGTATGCACCCCTAATCAAACGAAAAACCATTACATTACATAATGCGGTCAATAATTGATGATCACAAATAAGCCAAATTTACTTCTTTCTTTATTATTGACCAGAATTGTATAGTTGCGAATCATATAATAATTTTTTTTTTTTTTTTTTTTTTTTTGGCATTAATCATATCACTATGGTTAAAAAAAAAAAATACTGGTATATATCACTATCGTGACACGTGTCATTTAACTTCATATTCTTCACCTGAATCGAAGCCTCACACAGTCACGCACAAGCTCTATGTAAGTGTATCATCTGATCACTTCCCAAACTTCAAATTTCATTAAAAATGGCGTTCATCACCTCTCTCCGCCACATCTATCATCACCACCACCGCCGTCCAATTCTGTCAATCATCACACCTCAATCAGATCACACCACTGCTCACTACCATCTTCTCTCCTTCTTATGCCCGCGTCACAGCTCGAAGCGCTGGCTCAGCACCAGCACCGAGTCGATTCCGACCGAGTTCGCCGGCCTAAACGCCTACGACCTCCTAGGGGTTTCCGAAACCAGCTCATTCGCTGAAATCAAAGCTTCGTTTCGCAAATTGGCCAAAGAAACCCACCCTGACCTCGCCCAATCGCACAAAGATTCATCTGCTTCGCAGCGATTTGTTCGAATTCTTGCAGCTTATGAGGTAGGTACTGAGTTTTGTTTGATCGTATTTGCTTTGTGCCGTATTTCATTGATATTGAATGATTTGTTGAAGTAATTATGGTGTGAGTCTGTTTGGACTTGATAATATATCTAGAAAATGATGAAAACATTTCCAGTCTGTTTGGTTAATCGCTTGTGAAACATGAATTTAAGAAATGGGGAAAAAAAAAAAAAAAACGCTTGCAAAACCTGAAAAACCTTATAAGGACCTCTGGTGTTCAGAAAATCATAGGGCCTGATGCTTCATATAGTTTCTCTATAATAAATATTGAGTGTATTCTAACAAACTTTTGCTAGAATTTTGTTTTTGGTTTACATTCACCAGTCGTATAAACTAGTGGGTGAGTTATATATAATGGTGTTAATCTTCTACCGTTCTAAGCCTACAATGAAATTGAACATAAATGCGAGGAGCGATCATACAGAGATCAATACTGGAGGATTGAACCAGAGATCAAAGTACATAGGAGAAGCAGATTTGGTGAAGAGCTGAATTGTTGATGGAGTGGACTGAAGGCTTGGAGAGTGGAGGGTTTGGTAGTTGGTCTGTGTCAAGAGGTAACTAGGGTTTTGAGAAACTGTTAACCTAGTTATGTAATCTCTTTCTTACATAGTGGATTTGATCTGACTGGACTATGTCATGTGGCTTTCCCCTTGAGCTATGTCCGTCACTCCGTTGTGCTTTTACTTTTTCTGCATTTATTTTACTTATTGATGTTTATGAGTTTGGATGTATGATGAATTGAGTGGATTACTTGCTATTGTATTAATTTAATTATTGAATAGTTGTTAATTCAGTTAAAATCAATTGAAATTAGTTAATCAACTTTCAAAACCTATTTAGTCCCCTTCTAGGTATAGTTAACGGGCGTAGTATAACGTTATATAAGATTCTAGGGTTCCGGTTCTAATACCTCATACGACATTATTATTTCTAAACTCCTAATTAAACTAATGACTGAGATATGTTAGTTAATATATATTTTTTCTTCTGGTTACTTCCTCAATTAAGGTGCATAAGAATGCATATATTCTATTGTTACTGTTTTTCAATGTTGCAGTTTGATAAGTTCACATTCTTTGTTTTTTATTGACTCCCTCTCCAGCATGAGTCGTTTGGGTCACTCAACATTAAGATTACAAAGCTTTTAAGATTGTATTTATTAACTATCAATTGGTGCGAGACCCTGATCTCTAAACTTACCATTAGAGGGCGCAGTTGGATATTACAGGCTTGCAGATTCAATGTTTTTCGTAAAACACATGTTATTTTTATGGATCTCATATTTACCATTAGTTATATGCTTACATATTCAGTGTTGACTTGTGGCTTGATTTAGGGCCAACCATTGGATCATTCCCTTGGTTGGGATACTTGGCTGATTTTCACGCGAACTTCACTGAATTTCCTTTAAATCATTATAAAATGTTAGAAGCTAGCTAAAAATAATCTAGCACTTTCTGACTTTCTGAACTCTTCTGCCAATGAATGTTCTTCTGGAACTCAATTATGGTTACAAAAACGGTATACAATTTTTGTAGGATGTTCACAAATATGCATCTCTGGTGAGAGTCTTAATTCATATTCCTTGCTTCATATTACCCACCTTTGTTTTTCAAAGATTCTCAGTCAAATACCATTTGATTCCTGTTTTCCATTTTTTTTTCCCTAAATATATATCTCAATATTTCAAATTGACATTTTTTCCGGTGGAGCGGTGAAATGTGTAAAGATCAGAAAGAACACCAACTGCGAAAGCACTCTGCTGGGCTGACACTGACACTGAGACGAAAGCTAGGGGTTTATTTCTTTTATTTTCCCCATTGGTTTATTTATTTATTTTTTTGGCCTAGGGAGTGGGACTTGACTTTTATTTGGTTTTGTCTGACTTGTTCGTTTGTCATGGAAATAACTTTAATGCATATGCTTAGTATTGGTTTAATCTGTATCTAGGTTACATGGACTCGGGTACGTTTGTCGGGTGTGGGTATCTATCCACGTGTCCGATGTGCCAAATCCTCGTACATATTGACAAATGGATACTGATAAATATCTGTATTATTTCATATTTTATTTTATTTTATTTATAGAGTAAAATAACGTCTTTAGTTGCTTAATTTTCAAAAAAAAAAAAAAGAACTAGTCTTTTGGTAGCATAGTGTTCAATATAGGCATTCACTCTTTTTGAAGTAATAATATAATAAAAATGAATCATTAGATATGGTCTTTTTAGGTACATGTCCAACCAAAAATGTCGTTCACATGTCCCATACCCATGTCCCAGTATTGTGTCCCCGACACGGTTACTTCACCCATTTTTTTCTAGATTCCTTAAGATTTAGCATGTATATAAGTGAGTGATAGTGATGTTTAGTATGGTGGTATGCGTAGTCAACATACAATGAATTCTGACATACTAATTAATAACAAATGCAGATACTATCAGATTATGACAAGAGGGCCCATTATGACAGGTATTTGTTATCTCAGAGAATGCTAGTTCAAAAACATTGTAGGCAAGGTTCTATACTGTGGAGATATGAATCCCATGGAATTACAATGAAGCAGATGGAAGTTGTTGAATGGTTGAAATGGTATAGATATGCTATAAATGATATTTTGTTGGAGAAAAGGGTAGTAGTTGGATCAAGCTATTTTGATGTACTGGAAAGAGACTTCTACTCAGCCGTACATGCAGCGTTTTATGGCCCTGAAATTGAATCAATGGATCTCCTTCCAGAATGTTTTGAAGCTGAGGAGAGGTCTGTGTATGGTACCCCTGAGGTGTTGCACTTGGTTTCAGGGCGGGACCTTTTTGGGATGGTATGCTTATCTGACAGGTTTCCTGAATTATCAGAGTGTTACAATGAGAAACTGGAATCTTTTGCATCCAAAGATTCAGGGTTGTGCAAATCCATTAAGAATGTGAGCATTCAAATGAATTCTGGGGTAGCTGATGGTGGAACTCGTCAGATGCAAGCCGAATATAATGACTACCAAACACCTGATGCATATAAAGATCTAGAATTGCATGTATCAGGGAGGATGGTGGCTATGGCCGTTAGAGTCCGTCCTAAAAGCTATTGTAATGGGATACAGAATGAAGATTCTCAAGATCGCATACATATCTATCTTAGTTCACATCAAGATCCAATGTATGCAAGCAAAAGTTTTCCTAGAGACTCTTTTATGGGTGTTGCAGATGGATCTAGGATTCCACTGGGAACAATAACTGGTCTCGGGACTAATGAAGAAGAAGGGTCCTGCTTTGTCTACAATTACAGTGGTATAAAAACCCATGTGATTATGAAGCATAGAACGTTGCTGGTATGTAACTGCACTCTTTCAGTTTTGGTCTCTTAACATCCATTCATGTTAAATTTGAGTCCAGACTATTTTGTACATTTATTTAGTATTGAATTATTCTCTTTTGTCCTTGATCTGTACATCATAGAGACCAAAGGTTGTCTCTATCCCAATATTAAGCAAGGGACTCTTTTGAATCTTACTTCATTTGCATTGTCAAGACATATTTGTAAACAGAGGAAAATGAATCTTCTACGACTGCTTTTGCTTTTAGCATATGTTAGTAACTTTTTTTTGATAAGTTTAGCAGATGTTAGTGACTTGAGCTTTTTGTTCCCTCTCCTCTCTTGTTGCTTGTGATAGAGATAGAGGATTGGGGTTTCAACAATCTAGAATGTCATCTATCTTCTGAATATATTGGTGTTACATATAACCATGGTGTTTTATTTTAGGTGCTTCTTGCATATATTAATGCATCTCATTGTGCTGCATGCTGTCAAGAACCATCACCTGCAGTGCAGAAGATTCTTTGTATAACTGGTATAGGTTTGGAATGTGCTTTGTTTTTGTAAGGTTTTTTTGCAGCTTGTAATGGAAAAAAAATAGCTTGAATTTTGCAACCATGCTCATTTCCAAGTGTCATTCACATTAACCATGCATTATTGTTGATCTTGTTGCTTTTCTTTCTTCAAAACTTTCTTTAAATGTCAGAAACTTGTTGGTGTCAATTCATGAAGAAATTGTTTTATTGCACATGCTAGGTTTTACTCCCTACTTTTTTTTTTTTCCCTCAGCTCTATATTCATGTGCGTTAACTTCTTTTACTAATATGGCTAAAATTTATGGTTTTTAACATTGGGGGAGGATGTTTAGTTAAGAATTACATCCTCCAAATATATTACTTCCCCCTTGATTGTCACTACCTACTTTTGCAATTCTTATCATATTTTTGCAAGTGCTCTGCAATTGGATGGAACATTCTCACTAATTGACAATAATCACCATATAACTAGCAATTATTATAATAAGATTAATTATTATTACCTTAAGTTAATCCAACAAACATCATTTCAAATCCTATCAAATTCACTTTCTCCGTAACTAAGAGAGTACACAACCTCTCAATGATCCAAGTCCTACACAATTTTCCCAAGGATTACTTGCCTCATACCGCTGATAATAGCTTGCTCAACTCAATGATAGGAGCACCATTAATAATATGGACTCACACATAGTTCGTCCATGTGATCGCACACAATTTGGCCATATGATCAATATCCCAGTCTCACACATAATTTGACCTTATGATCAATATCCCATTTTTGCACGTGGTCTTAGTGTCTCCATCACTTACCACCATCTATACAGTCATCAACATCAACCATAACACATACCCTTCACACACCATGCTCACGTGTCCTAAAACCCCATTGTTGTCTATGACTAATTAGCACAAACTAGGGAGAATTATCTAACTTAGCAGCCCACAGAATATCAAGACCTAACTTCTTCTACCCTCCCAAAGTGGATAGTTGGGGTTCATGTCCTCACAGGGCCAAAGTGGATGTGCAAGTTATTTGCCAGGATTCTCCACCCTCCCCCTCCCCACTCCCCAAAAAGAAAAAAACAGAAAAATCAAAGATTATTCCGTACTCTCAGTTCTAAGAGTGTAGCTAGTTTCACGATAAATCAACCTAAATCCTATCTCAACTCAATTTCCTAAGTCTAAACTGATCATAGAGGTGTATCTTATTTAATTATAATTTTTCATAATATCTTTTAAGATTTTTAAATATGTTTAACTAATTCTTCTCATTGTTAGTAATTAAAACTAATTAAAAAATAAATTAATGCTAGATGCACCGAGGATGGTCCATCGTGTTGGGCTCAGTGAGTGGAGTCCAGCTGGTCAGGCTGTGACCCTGAATCACTGCCCCAGCTGCCGCACGCACCCCAACCGCTGCCAGTGCGATGGTCTTGTGGCTGGCTTGGGTTGTCTTCTTCCTTCCCCAATTTCTGCCCAGTGACAACCCAGAAACCCAAACTTGCGATTATGTCTACCGTTCACCTCAAATTGAATCTTAACCCGCCCCAAATCACTCCAAAAATTATGGCGTATCAACTTTAGATTGTAGAATATACATCTAGAAGTTCAATTTTCATGAGAATCCATAACAAAAATAAGACGGATTCTTGGCCCCAAGACCATGTTCCGGCCATGGCATCCTAATATCCCCTGCAAGTTCTGTAACTAGATCTTCATCTATATATATATTTACATATACATGCATTCCTGGAAAAGGCTTCTCATAACTCAAGTTTACTGCTCAAAGCTATACTAATTTATACATGTAGGTATATATATAAACTGCTTATTTATGTGTGTATAACTCTGTTTTCTATATGTATCACGCCACACACTCACATAAACATGAACATAGATATGTGGAATATGGTACTTGTCCGATCTTTGGTTTTACAAAGTCAGTAGATTTGCATGAGTAATATTACTATAGTCTTTTTGAATTTTTTCTTTGTTGGGGAATTTGTTGCAGGTAAAACACATGCACTGGTATCAAGTGGGAGAAAAAGTTTCTGTTTGTGAGTGTAGATGCAGTAGAGCTCGGTTACCACCAAGCAAGTAAGCTGCATTCTTCCTTGTTAAATCCATGAGTTCTGAACCAATTTTAGTACTCAACCCAACTAAATCTTGTTATTAACTATTTGATGCTGGCTAAGTAGTTCTTTTTTCAAAAAATAAAATAATAAGTGGTGCGTTCGCTTTTGGATGGATATGGCTGAAGTATCTCTATACCTGTTGGATTATCATGAAAATTTTCTAATGTCAACTTCTTATTTCTAAGTGAATTTTCATGCTTACTATTGTTTGGTTCTCTTTCGGTTATGCAAGAATGTTGTTAACTTCTCATGCTTTAATCTTCCTTTGTTCCATACCATTTGTCCATATTCTCTCTATTTTCTTTTTATTTTTTATTTTTTATTTTCACATCACTTGCCAGTGTCTAAGGACTTAGTCCCAACTTTAGTATTTAGAATGGATCCTTCTACACCTTGGGCAAAGCTCAAAAGGACTTACAATTTTGATTGATATTACTTACTGAATTCGTTAACTTTAATTAGATGCAGAGTGGTGATTATGTGGAGTCTGAGTCTAGGAACAGCTGAGCTCATTCACTCAATCTGGTGGATTCAATTGGTCTTTGTTTTTCCCTATAAATGGTCTTAGTTTGTGACAGGACATTTTAATACATGGCCAAGGGTCTATTGAGTTATACAACTTATACTTGTTAAAATGGTTAGAGCGCTTTGGACTTCAAATATTGAGAGGTGCCACCGTGCCAAAAGAATCTTAAAATCTATTTTGTTCTACAAAAGTGATATTCAAAGTAATATGCAATCAATTAACTGATTTTATTTAAATGCTTTTTACTTGGAAAAGTACCATTAATTTGATCTTCCACTTCTCAAAGGACTTGTCTCTCCAAAAAAAGTACCATAACATAATAATATGCTCCTCCACATCTCAAAGGATTCAGACTTGTTATACTTTTTGATATTTTGGCCTTGCGTTGTTTCTTTTAACAGATTTTGGTTGTTTGAACCTCGCTGTGGCATGCATGATATTGGCGGTTGGTATGTTGAGACATATGGCAGAGATAAGAAAAGCCGGACTGTTCCATCCCAAAGGTATTGGGATGGTTTGGACGCAAATGAACAGTTTGAAAAGTAAGTCAATTTCATGTAAGCCTCCACAATTTTAAGGCCTTTCCACTGTTTTACATTTTTGGTTTTAAGTACTTTGGCACCACACTTTATCCTGGCACTGGCGGAATCTTATGCAAAATTCAGAAATCTCACTAATATACATTAAACTTTTTAAGTTTCAGAAAAGCATTTTGAAACTTTTTCAGAATAGCTTGATATTTTATGTAGAACCTTGTTCTGCCGGTTTACTGCCTAATTTAACACAAGGTAACATTGAAAAACCTGGAGTAGCTATTGTCACAAAGATCATCTTATACTATTATCTGCATCAGTGAACCAATTAGAACTCAACTTGATTTTAGTTTGCCCTTGTGAACATGTTACTGCACCAATCTTATCCCCCCACCCGGAGAAAAAAAATAAATGAATAATAAAAAATAAAACCCACTACCTCTGTTTCTTGCCTTTTCAAGTTTATAAGAATGTTATGTTGTATATATGATATGCAGGAGACTTCATCCGGCTGTATATTTGCTTGCTATTGCATATAGAACTCTAGATCTTGAAGATGCAAAAAGGAGGAGACAAACAGTACGAGGTATTGTTGAAGGAAATTTGTTAAAAATGATCAATTGGTGCAAGAAACTTCTATAGGAAGGATGTCGTTTGGCATTCCAGGTTTGGTAATTGCTTCCTTTCTGAGGCCCAAATATTAGCCACTGTTGATAGTATTTTTTGATGGACATCAGAAAGCTAATTGCATTAGCTACGGCATCTCCATTTATCGTTCTAATGCCACAGATGTTGACGAAAATGAACCTTGGAATATATTGAGGAAACAGCCATCTAACTTGCCGTTTCTAGAATTTGTGAAGACATTTACTGGATGTATTTGAGAATATCAGCTTAGTGTGCTGGTTGAGATGTGTTGAGGAACATATTCAGTTCTCTCTTCTGCATGAGATGTTCTTGAAGTCGATTTATGGCATTGTTCTTTGGAAGAGTTAAAAGGAGACATTATTCACTGAATCTCAACTTCATTAAGCAAGAGATGGAAAGAGTTTTGTGGCAGTTCATCAGGTAGACAGCTACTTTTGTTTCCAGATGGTGGCTTATGCAGAGAGTGGTGATATTTAAGTAGTAAGTCATTAGATCTGTAGCCAGTTAACGCCTCCCCGTCCCTTAATCTACAGGGACCAGAAACTTTTTTTTTAGGTTAGTTTTTGCTAGTTTCACATTGTTACTGTGTATATTTTTCATAATAAGCTGCAACTCCTTTTTGAAAACTAGGCTGTTTTTGTTTTTACTATTACATTATTTACTGTACATTAATAGAGGTCGTTTATGTTAAGAAGTGAAATAATTAATATTGTTCCACAATTCCTAAATTTAATATGGTTGTATTTGTTATGTTTATGATTCTTGGATCATCGTGTTTATGACCCCAAACCATGAAATGAGATTTTGAAATTTGTTTTTCAATCCAGTGAATGCATATAACAGACTGTATAGGAAATCTGAAATTCAATATGATATGCTTTATTTTTCTTTATTACTTAATTAGGTCCTCCCATTTGCAGTATTGCCCGCCTGCTAATGCACGGTAAAACCTATCTCTGCAGTAGACTGGCCTTCCATCAGCAGCCTCAGCTGCAGCTGCTGCTAGATCATCATCAGCCTTCACCTCTACCGGCAACCTTAGCAGCTCCTCTTTTCTATGATATTGACATAAAAGTTCCAAGTACAATGTAAAAGTAAATCATGTACTTTTAAATATTAAAAATGTGGGCTCAAATTGTCAGTTATATACCTTATATTGAACTTCTTGTTCTTCAAAGCTGAAACATTCGAAGTCTCATTTGTGGCAAAAGTGTTCTGAATGAAATCCTCTACTGGTGTAGCAAAGATAAATAGTAGAACTCCTGTAACGAGTAATGCCCCTGTTCCAACTAGTGTTTGTTTCAGCAATTTGACGACTGGTTTGACCTAGAGACATAAGTTTCCATTGGTTTTTCAACATTAGCTATGCTACAAAGACCTGCTTAATGCCTTGTAAAATATGAAAATCAAGCAGAGAATATTGTATATATGGGTCTAAATATGTGTGTGTGTGTGAGTGTGTGTGTGAGAGAGAGAGAGAGGTTATTTTTGAGTGTGCTTGAATTGTTGCAAGTAATTTGAATTTGCATGTAACAGTTTCCAAGAAATATAGCATAAATGTATTATATTAAAAATTGAATCACTCCTATTCATTTATTAGTACCTTGTATGAGCCCAACAATCTATCACGAGCTAGGATCTGCGAGGAAGAAAGACAGTATAAGCTATAAATGGAAGGCATGCAAATCATAGAGATGATACATTCACTAGTTTTGATGAGTCTGAATAGAGTTGATCATTCCATTTTTATGTATCTAGACTACTTAATTAAATAATTAGTAAGAAATTGCGACTTCAGTTGAAGGTTATGACATTTGGGTTATCTTACCACTCAATATGTGATCTCCATAATATGTGTCACTAATTTTTCACTTGTGAAGCTTACAGCAGTCCAAGATTGGAGGCTTAAGTGAGCCTTACCACCATGCTCCTGGATAGAAACTGTTGGTTACCGATTGAATTGGTCCAGTTGAAGTGAGTCATAAGATGAACTGTGCCAGTGGAGGTAACACAATAACATTGAGTGCTCTCCATCTCCATGCATAAATTTATTTGCATTGCAAACTGTTTCATCAATCTGACTTATAGACATTTATCTGTCTGCTATATAATTCATATTACCTGCTCCCCACATGATTTCATCATGGCTACTATGCCATTAATGGGATACTGGAAGGAGTACACTGTATTAGGACCAACCTTCAACGTCATTGCACAAAGTGTCAGTCCTCATTCAACCACCTCCTTTCTTATGCTTGAGAGCCCTTGTTTTTACCATATCTTTTTCAAATTTATTCCACTGGGTAATCTTTTTGAAAGTTAAGGTGTTATTTTGGTTCCTTTATGGTGCCCCTGTGAGTTATGCATCTTCATGAACAAACACATATATGTTCACTTTGGATATGGGATAGTTGTGTTTCTGCCTTATTTATCATATTCTGGTTGTTTGAAGGAACAGAAAGCAGAGGAATACAAGGGCTTTTCTCTTTTCCCCTCTATTCTCCTAATTTAGTCTTTCGTAAAAAAAAATTCATCTTTATTTTAGATTCCTAAAATTAAGAACCCTAGTGCTCCAGCAGTTCCCCCTAAACAAATATAACTACCCAGCAAAAGGAAAAAAAAAAAAAAAAGGACAAAGGAGAAAGGAAATGAGAGCTAACCTCGGGTGGCTTCACCCACATTTGTCCATCATACCAGCCACTCTCTTCGTAAGGTATCACTGCTGATAAAAGTCTGTCACCAACATAACTCCAACCCTTCAATATGCATCAAAAAGTAAGTTTAAACAAAACTATGAACCAAGAAGATCTCGAAAACTGCTGAAATAAAAAATACTTGGATTCAATTGGAATGAATTGTTCATATAGAGATATGCATAACAAACACAAGTAAATTTGTTACTTTAGTGGTGTAATCATTGAGCGATTAGCATGAAGGCTCAGTTAATGCATACATCAGGAAATTTAATTGTCCCATCTCATCTGTTACTAGTGAGAAAGCTCCATCACTTGCCTCTTGTCTTCATGGCATCATGTATGTGCTTTTGTGTTTTAAGGTTTTTAAGGCGAAGCTATACACCTTTCGTCTAAGATGATTATGATGTCTACACAATGCTATCTTTTGGAAGTTTTAATTTTGTCAATATATTTGATTACTAATTAGAATAAAAATGTTTGCATCTAAGTTACCAAGCTTGAAAAGGTTGTGCTCCACCTGCTACATAAAACTATGCATAAAAACAATCTACCAAAGTCAGCTTCTAATGCAGTCTAAACTACGAAGGATGATTATTTATAAAAATCATGACCAGATAAACCTAAAGTTATCATTTTTGCAGACCGGATGTAGGACAAAAGAAAAATATCCAGCAATTCTGCTACTGGTCTGCTACTAGTCATAGGTAATGAAATTAATCATCCATCTGATGTTTTTGTATAATATATTTAATAAATGACTCAGTGCAATTATTTCTCTGAAGAATAGTTCTCTTTGGTAGTCTATATATAGATGATTTGCACAGGCTGGAAATGAACTAGCTGCAACATGAAGGATAGGATACCAGATAAATCCTCAGGACAATTAGTGACACAAGGAAAAGAGTTCCTGTTCCAGCGGCTAGCACAAATTGTAAAGGTTCCTGCAGGGACAGGAACAGATAATTTAGTAAATTTGAGCAGTGGAAGAATGATAAATTTAGCAAATGAAAATAACTCACTAATTTATTGAAGTATCATTTTACTATTTGGGGGGGTTGATATGTTTGATATATATGTATATACATTCTCTAGAATCAATCACGTAAGTTTTGTGGTTGAAACATGGTTTGCAGTCGCCGTATCGGTATCAGTCGCGGTGTAACAGACTCGGACAAAATCAGTGTAAACTGACCGATACAGGTCGCATATCAGACTTGAAAAAGAGTCGCGTATTGGATGATACGGCGAACTAGGTTGAAACAACATTTCATTTATCATTGCATCTTAATTTTCGAAGTATACTGGTCCAATGTAAAAAGTCCTGCCCCTTCTAGCGTTCGGGAAAAGAAAGAGCGTTGAAATGGTCCTAGTTGCAAATGTAACTTCCCAGGTAACAGGTATTAATTTCTTTGAATTTGATTGAAAATGATTCCCCCTTTTGTCACTAAGCTAAAGTATTACTTTTTCAGGAGGTTATTTTAACTAGCAGATTGGTTGACATTACCAAAAGTTGATTCAGCTAGATATTGCTCTCAATATATGAATTCATTTCGGAGTGATGTTAAGAAGAAAATAACCACAAAAATGTATCTATCAGGTTGATACTTGGCATGATACCTAATTCAATTAATACCCTGCATATGCTAAAATGTTATAGAAAATACTTTGTACAGAAAATATATATATAGTTTGATTTGGAGAAACTGTGACTAAAATTGGAGAATTCTCTTGAAAGGTATAAATAAGTTGTGTGATTGTGCTGATTGGCAAAAATTAGTTGTTCTTGTTCATGTCATTGATGCCATGTGACTTTTCAAACCATTTAAGTATGATTTCGAAATACGAAGACAGGACATGATCATTTCTTTGCATTTTTGCAGAACTTCTGGTCATTGAGACTATTTTCATATCTGAAATTGTGCATATGCGATCCTACTTTTTAAATTTCCTAGTAATATTTATTCGGTTAGGATGTCTTTATATCTCTTTTACCTTTGAAGGATTAAAGCTTGCAGCTGCAATTGGCACTCCCAGCACTGTGAAAGTCACCAGCCAGAGGCCTCCAAGACGTTGGAAAAAGGACACTGGAGTCAGTTCCCCCCATGAATATAAAGGTCCATCTTTAAGAGATGTATACTCATTCACCTATTACACAAACAAATTACTGTAAGTATGATGTGGATTGCATACAGGGCATGATATGCTTCTATCTCATCTCATTGAATCCCCACCATTAATTCTTTCACAATCCCACATGATGCATTTCCCTATACATTCACATTATACAAGTTTTAGTACAACCTGTATTCGTTATCTGGTGAGCTACTACATATCTGTATTATGGGTGTAAAGTGACCGGCACAGCCATAATATATATATATATATATATATATATATATATGCAACTTGACCTCAATTACTGGTTCGTTTCTTTACTCATCTGCAGGAGCTATTTAAGCAAGAGTCCTTTCCTTTCTTTGACAATTTGGTGAGAAGAATTTGTTAGCAGGCAAGAGTTTGAGTAAACTGTTAGGGGCCTATTTATGACGGTAATCTAAGTATTGAGTTGCAGGTAAACATACCGGTCTTTGTTCGAAAGGGACTTCGATTTCCAACCCGGGTTCCCAGCTCCGGCCGGGTAACCCGCTCGTGCCTCCTTCCATCTCATCTTTCAGGGCTTTCCCTCTTATCCTTTGACACAGGTGCTGAGCTCTATGATACTGGATAACCCATGACCCGTAGTTGCTTCCGATCTTGACTTGTCGTGGACCAGGTACTATAGAACAATACACATTTAACCTGAGCATTTATTCCAGAATTTAAATTGTAATTGATGCAGAACAGCTGAGCTTCTGAATTGGTGACCTTAAAGGATAGGGGAGAGAAGAAATAGTTGTGGAGTTTCTCGTAAGCAGAAAGGAATGGTTCTATATTTTTCTGGGACCAAGCAATATTTACGTGGAGGATAACACTGGATGTAGAAATAGTGTGATGTTTTGTATTTGAGTGAAGGATTTTCTTTATGGTGGGCCCTCTTTTGCCACGTGGATAGAGGACCTGACCAATCAGGTAATGCCAGGTCATCAGTGGCTCTTGAAATTGGTCGTACGTGCATGCCTTGTGACAAAGTGTATGGCGTCGGTGAGTGTGATTATCCAAATGTTTAGGTCGTTACTTTGTGGATTAGAAATTAAAGGCGTGGGTTGTGAAACGTGGCAAGTGATGCGTTGCACGCTATTTTTGTGTGCGTTTCTCACGTATCCACGAGTTGTCTGCTTCTAAACACACACACTTGCACAGCTGCTAAACTTTTGTACGAGTGATGCCGTGCACGCTATTTTGTGTGCGAGTCTCACATATCCACGAGTTGTCTGCTTCTAAACACACACGCACACAGCTGCTAAACTTTTGTACTTATGTTCACGTAGGGAAAGAAAATTATTACATGCTCATGCACCATTGATTATGATTATTTATAGGCGATAACTAGTTGGCACATAAATTAAAAAAATCTAAATAAAACTTTACTCAAGTGTCAAGTACTGATTCATCGAGGGCCGGCTTTGAGATTTTTAAAATCTTCAAAAATTTTGAGAGGTCAACTTTTAAATGTGAGACCCTATAAAGTCCTTTATCAAATTTAAACTCTTTCAAATTGGAGGTTGCTTACTACGCAACTGGGCTGCCTAGGCCCAAGGCCCAAGGCCGGCCCGGAGTCCGAGATCAATAGTACCGGGCGATAATTTCTCAAGATTTAGAGCCTTTCTTGTACTGATCTCTCAAATGTGTTGGTGAGTATGCAACTCTTTCAGATAGTGTATTAATACCTTTGGATTCAACTTACTGAAAAAAAAAATTAATAAAAAATAAAACCTACCTTTAGATCGAGTGTGTTGCCCCCTTAATTGGAAGGCACAACACCTTGAAAGTAATGGTGTTACACATTCGATAGAAGTTTGTTGTCTCTTTTGAAGTAACTGGTGTGTAGTGTCATAGTAATAATGGTGCAACAACTTTAATTTTGCAACATTCTTATTTTGAAGGTGCAACAACTTCAAAGTTGTGATATTGCACCTTTGTAAGGTACTGCGCACTCCTCAGAAGCCCAAGTGCAAGTTGAGATTTTAAATCCTTAAGGCAACGTGCATTCCTCGGGAGCCTAAGTGAAAGTTGAGATTTTAAATCCCCACGTGGACAAATGGACGTGACGTGAGGAGTTTCTTCTTAACGGAATTAGGGATAGCAGTACTTTATGGTTGCAATAGGTAATATAATATTCTGTTAATTCCGAAATAAGTGTTATGTTTTGGGAATCTAACTTACAGTGACTTGAGTATCAAAATATGATCCTTATTTGGGAACAAATGAAGTAGGAGTCAGAAAGAAAAGTTAAATTAAAAAATGGGCGGAGGCAAGACTCTTTTATAATTGGGTGAGCTTTGTGCACTTTTGCTAACATGTGCTGACAAATCGAGAATTCCTAATAAGAAAAGGAGCATGATTCTTAAACTTTCTAACAATTTTTCCTAAAATCATACCAAATTTTGACCAATGATTATTTGAGATATTAGCAAACTACTCCTCCCTTCTGTTTATTTACCTTTTTTCCTTATCTTTTACTAAATAGTAAGAAAAAAATTTTGTCCGTTAATTATAACTATTCAATCTAATTAATGGGTATATAGTTTTGGTATCTTTGTCTATCTTTTAAAGTGAAAGGCTTGCGAGTTCGAATTTTTGTAAGAATATAGTATGTGTTTGAATTATTTGGTATGACAAGAAAAAACAAATCTAACTAATCAAAGAATCTGAATTTATTAAAAGTAACTAATTTATGATTGATGGGAGAGAATAAAGTGAAAAGAAATGAAGCGAGCGAATGAAGCATATTTCTATCGTTTGTTGAGTGGGAGTGGGAGGGTTGAGGGAAGAATAAAATGTTTTTTTAAGTGAATAAAATGAGTGTAAAGTCAGTGACGGATCTAGAAATTTATATGAATGGGTACAAATTTATATGGAGAGTTTTTTTTAAAAAATAATTTCAGTGGGGGCAATTTAACAATTTTATAGGTATAAATGCAAAAAAATATAAATTTAGAGATGTAAAATGTAATAACAAAAAATTTCAGTTGGGACATTTGTCCCCACTGAGCTCACAGTACATCTGAGTAAAGTGCAAAAAACCTCCCTGTATTATTAATATAGTGCAAAAAAGTTCTTGTGTAATATAAAATTCCCCTATACTATCGATTTGATGCAAAAAACTCTCTTGAGACTTAAAATGATTAATAAATTAATATGTTAAAATATAGGCCATGTAAAATGACTGTTTTGTCCATTTTTTAGCACCTCATCTCTCTTATCTCCACCCCATCTTCTTCACCAATCGCTGCGGCAAATTACGTCACCGTAGCTGTGGCACACAGGACTAAGATACACTGGACTGAGTCCTGAAGATCACTGTGGAACCAATTTCTGAAACGGAGGGAAGCTCGTCAGAGGTTGAAGCTTCTGATGGGTTTTGCGTGAGGCTTGCAAGTTTGAGATAAAAGCTCACTGGACAAAAATAAAGTGAAGCACACGTTTTGTCTACCGTAGCTTGTGGCCAAAAAAGATGGATTTTTCTGAACTGGAATGCGCTGGTTTAGTCACCGTCACCAGAACTAGTTGTTGTCGTTTTTAGAGCTCGCCGTTGTGACGTAAGTGGAAACGATAAATTTGTTCACGAGAAACAAGTTACCTTGAATCTACAAGGTGGGTGTTTTGAATCCATAAAACGAAAAGACATTTCAGATAAATCTGATATATTATTTGATAATTGAATGAATGATTCTGAAATCTGTATTACACATATTTATAATGAAACAAAACACTAATCCATAAGGAAACTAACTGCAACTTGAATCCTTATAACATAAGGAAAACGAATCCGAAAGGATACTAAAACCCAAAAATAATCCTAAAAATAAAGTTTATTTAAAAATTCTGAAAAAATAGAGAAAGAAACCTAATAAAATAAAATTGCTAAATATAAAATATGAATGCAATTCGAGTTCGTTTAGACAATGAACAAAAATCTCGAAATATTCGTTAGGCTTCTTTCAGACCGAAAAACCCCATTTTGAGGTCCTAAACGATGGTATTTTGCCGAAAAGCACATTACGTAACGGTGTAGCAGTGAGTCTTGTTCGTTGGACCGTTTCCAGTAAAAAAAACTCTCCTGTCGGGTAAAAAACGCATACTTCGGGATCAACCCAGAAAATATGTTATCATGCTATTTGGCCCCCTAGTGGTCCAAACAGGCCATAAAAGGCTTTAGCAATCAATTCTATATCACATTGAGTAAGCTTCACCGGATTGGTTCTATAAACTTCACTGAACTGGGTCTGTGAGCTTCAGTTTTGGTCATCGATGGAGTACGTCAAAACTTCTATACCGTTGGTCACCGTCGTGGTTCATCACTACTTATAGCGTTGCCAGATTGAAATGAAGCTTTGCCGAACTTGGGCTCGCCAGACTGAAGTTCTAACCACTGAAATACATCGGAATAGCTGGGTTTGGTCGTTGTCAACTCAGAGCTCCACACCGGAGTTCATGGTGTTGATAAAATGGGTCTTCTCTGTAGCTCGTCGGAGCTTCTAGTTTGAATGAAACATACTAAAGCTGAAACTGAAGCTCATCTGAAATTGAACTGGAGCTCGCCGAAAATGGGTCTGCATTGTAACTCCAGCCAGAATAGTTTTTCAGTGAATCATCAACCCATAGTCTTCAATGGAGCTTCAACTATGGTCTTCAATGGATTCAACCATGTGGTTGCACCGATAGAGAAACTCAGTGTTTGAGTCATGGTTTGAGCATGAAGATGATGAAGCTCTCACCGGTGTTGTTGCCACCACCAATGACCATGTTATTCTTTCAACTTCAATTGCAGATTTAAAAATTATTAAATTTAGCATGGTTAAAGGTTGTAATGAATTGATGAAGATGAGAGAAGGCGAAGAGAGAGAAGGTGGTGCATGTCGTTGCAACACTCCGAATTTGTGCAAAATAGTGTGGCTAAGTTTTAAATTTGTAAAAAGTCACTACTAACTCTAACTACTAAATATAGCTAGGGTGAGTAGGAATCGTCCCAAGGGATTGTGGGCGTATTTGCAATGTAAACAATAAATAAGGTTAGTAGGTCAAATGATCAAAAGATTGTTTGTTTGGTTGATTAAACTACTAGCTAAAATTAAGCAAATTCAATGTAAAACAAATAATAACAAATAAATGATAGAGGGAACAAGAGAAAGAGGTCTTGGGATCTAGAAGTCACCACTAAACATCACATTTCTAGACACTTAATGTATAATTAATGAGGGAAAACATGTATTGCAACAATAGTGTATGTAATTGATTGTTTCAACAAGTATGGATAACCAATTAAGTGTATATTGTCTAAGCAACCTAGTGAATAGCACAATATATCAAACTAAGCCATTATTCCTTCTTTTAAGCTCACAATCTAAACACATTACATGGTTAGAAAAATATACTACTTGCATTCATAAGCATGGAATATCAAACAATAAGCATGGATTGTCCTCACATCTAAGAAAGTAAAGCAATTACATTACTTCTAAGCTAAGGATATGAAAATTAAACTAAATGAGAGGCACAATCCGTCAAGAAATGAGTATGAACCATCAAACAAACCACAAGAGTATTCTATTTAAGCAGTATGCCTTGACAATCTCTAGATTCATAACATCAATACACATAAACATGCATCAATATCACAAAACCAAGAGATAAACACATGAACATCTACTCTAACATACATAGACATATGGATAGAATGAAATGATCAATTGGAAGTATTAATGAACACAAATCATTATAAGAACAAGATTCATATATAAATCAAATGTCAAGACAAGAATTACAATATAAATCACCTCAAAATACAAAACATC